GGAGGCTGAAAGAGGATTGTCATGAGTTCAAAACCAACCTGGGCCATAAAAGTAAGGCCCTAGGTCTCAAAAAACAAAAATATTGCACATTGAGTCTGAGTGACCCCACGTACAGCCCTTAGGACCTCTGGAGAGCTGTGACATCCAGACTGCTGGAGGTTCCTAGAACTGGGGAGATGCCCCACTGTGGTGGGGTTGCCACAGGATAGCCGTTGCTCCGTGCTGTGGGACACAGGACAAATAAGGCATCTCGGGGCAGACATGGAAAGTCCCTTAAACTTAAACTGCATGCTTTAAAAGAAAACTTTTTTCCAAAAGATAGACCAAGCTGATGTTGGCCCTATGGAATGCAGAGACTGTCTAGGCTCTTCCAAGAACCAGAGGCAGGAAGGCACGAGCTGAGCCACTGAGCGATTGCATGGTAGATACCAAGGAACAAGTTCACGTTTATTTTCTCAAGAGAAAAGATTTGGCTTCCTTTGAAATAAAATAATTACACTGGGTTTGGTTGTACGTGCCTAACATCCCAGCATTCTGAATGCTAAGGCAAGAAGTACAACTTCCCAGGCCAGCCAGAGCTACATTGCAAGTTCCAAGCCAGGCTGAGTTACACACAGATACCCTGCCTCGAATTCACAAGTTTGGCAATTCAAATTACAGCATTGTCTAAGTCAACCATCTTGTCACCAAAGAGCACATTGCTGGGTTGGGAGCCCGACTTCTAGGGGTTCCAATTCAATTCATCAAATCACCCTGACCCCCAAAACAAGGACCAGGTGGCTACTTTAAGGGACATAGAGAAGTGTGAGCACCTGCAGATGTCACCTTTCCCTTTATCACATGACTGGCAAGAAAACTACAGCCTTAAAGCAAATTTAGCAACTATTGGGTTCTCTGTGCAGACTCTGGAACTCTGAGGCAGCGTCTATACTGTACTTGCAGGGTCATGTCCCCGCCTCGTGACTCTCAACCCCATCCTCCTTCTCTGGTAGGAGAGTGGGTGGGGCAAGCTGAAGAAGGAGAACACGCCATCCCGTGATGTTCTCACCATCCACCTTTGACGGAAGGCAGGGCGGGAACTCAAGCCGGAACCCCGCAGGCAGGAATCACTGAGGATCACAGCTTGCTGGTCCACTCACAGACTCACGCCTGATTGGCTTTCTATACAGCCAGGACCACCTGCCCAGGAAATGGCTCCACCCACAGTGGATCAGACCCACCTACAGCAGCTAAAATAATCCTTCAGGCCTGGAGAGTAGGCTCAGCAGTCAAGAGCACTGACCGCTTTCCCAGAGGACACAGGTTCTATTACCAGCACCTACTGGTGGCTCACAACTGTCTGAAATTCTAGTTTCAGGGCATCTTCTAGCCTCTTCAGGTACGCACACTTGACACACACATACACAAAGGCAAAACGCCTTGTGGTGGTTTAAAAGAAAATGGCCCCCAAAGGCAGTGGCACTATTAGGAGGTGTGGCTTTGCTAGAGTAGGTGTGGCCTTGTTGGAGGAAGTGTGGCACTGTGGAGGCAGGCTTTGAGGTCTCATAAATGCTCAAGTCCCATCCTGTGGCTTTTAGGGGGAGTGGCTCTTGGGGGGGGTGGCTTTTAGGGGGAGTGGCTCTTAGGGGGTGTGGCTCTTGGGGGAATGGCTCTTGGGGGAGTGGCTCTTAGAGGGAGTGGCTCTTGGGGGTGGCTCTTACCTAGGGTGGCTCTAAGAGGGGCAGGAGTGAGGATGGCTGACGTGCAGGGGGAACAGGATGTTGTTGAGTTCCCAAGTGGTTAAAAATATATTCTAGGAAATAAAAAAGAAGCTGGGAAAAGCCGTGTATGTGTGTGTGTGTGTGTGTGTGTGTGTGTGTACACATGTGTATAGGCCAGAGAACCTCAAGTGTCATTCCTTAGGTCCTATTTATCTTTGTTTTTTTTTTTTTTTGATACAGGGTCCTCATTGGCCTGAAGAAGTCAGCTTTGTCCCCAGCCCACCTCCATGCCCAGCTTTTGTTCTTTAACATTTTTAGTTAGCGTGTGTGGTGCAGGTGAGAGTCAGAGGACAGCCTGCAGCAGTTGGCTCGAACCTTCGCTGACTGTCCGGGGAACTGAACACCTGTACCTACGAGCTACACTACCAGCTGCTGTTGTTTTAAGGTGAGTTCTGGAGGCTGGAACTCCAGTCCCCACACTGGCAGGGCAAGCACTTTACCACCTGAGCTACCGTGCCCACCCATGCGTGGTTTCCTGCCTCGGTTAACCTGCGTAATGCAGAGTCTTTTGTGTGTTTTCAATCTGTAATGGTCAGCAAATGTTGTGCCTGCTACTACACATACAAGGTCCCAAACTAGACAAGTGGCTTACATGTTTGAATACAAAAAAAAAAAAAAAAAAAGCTCAGGCTGTTGGGCGGTGGTGGTGCACACCTTTAATCCCAGCACTCGGGAGGCAGAGGCAGGTGGATCTCTGTGAGTTCAAGACCAACCTGGTCTACAAGAGCTAGTTCCAGGACAGGCTCCAAAGCTATAAGCTATAGAGAAATCCTATCTCAAAAAAACAAAACTCAGGTTCCAGGACCCCACATCCTCCTGGCCTTCTCTGGCCCAAGGCTAGCTCTTCTGGTCTTTCCTCATCTCCTGCAGGGCCCTGGGCTCTGTTCTCGGCTCCCCAAGGCAGCCTCTCATCATATACAGCACTCTGTCACTGATAGTTTTGTGTGCTACTGACATGCTGGGACTCACTGGTAGGTGGATATCCCAGACACTCACAGAACCCCAGAACCCCAGGCATGCTGGCTATGACAGACCTGTGGCTTCTCTTGAAGAGAAAAGTCCTTAGCAGCAATCACCAGCCATTAAAGGTTGCCAAAACATCCCTAGAACAGGCTGTCATGGTCAGTGGGTAAAGTATTTACCTCACAATGATGGGGACCCAAATTCAAACCCCCAGAATCACATCTGTAACCCCAGCATTCCTATGCCAGGCATAGGGAAAAGGCAGGGGCAGAAGAATCACTGGGCCCACTCTGGGTCAGCTAGCCTGGACTACAGACGAACTACAGTGGACTACAGTGAACAAGAGGGACATTGAGTCCACACCCAAGGTTGCCCTTTGACCTTCACATGCTTGCTACGGAATGCACATGCCCACACACATCCACATAGATGAAAAAGGAAGACCATGTTGCTGGGGTCCCCGCCTCAGGCGCTGCCCTCTGAGTATTCCAATCTTATTTGCAGCCTCCCAGACCAACGTCAGGCCGCCACCCTTCCCCCACCCACTTAGCTACTCCCCTGGGGCTGTGACCAACTGCTGACAAGAAGCAGTTTAGGGGGAAAGGGTTTATTTCCGCTTACAGTTTAGGAAGATACACTCCACTGTGGGAAAAAGGGATGGGAGGCAGCAGCTGGTCACCCCCAATTAGCTCAAAAAGCAGAGAGGGAGAGGAGGCTGGTACCCAGCTCACTTTCTTCCTTTCTTTTCTTGTCTGTCTGTTTATTTTTTATGGTTTATTTAACTTTTATTTTATGTGCATCGGTGTGAAGGTGTCAGGTACCCTGGAACTAGATCTTCAGACAGTTGTGAGCTGCCATGAGGGTGCTGGGAATTGAACCCAGGTCCTCTGGAAGAGCAGTCAGTGCTCTTAACCATTGAGCCATCTCTCCAGCCCCCTCTTTCTTCCTTTCTTGGGTCTAAGGCCCCAGCCCAGGAGGGAGCCATGCACAGTTAGGGTGGGTCTTTCTACCTCAGTTTACCTACAGAACCATCCTCATAGGTACACCTACAGACTTGTCTCCCAGATGACCCTAAATCTTGTCAAGTTGATGACATCCAGCCCACGTGCCTGCCTAGCCATCCCTCCCTGGTGCCTGCCTAGTTGGCCTCCCTGCCACTCCCCAATCACACCTATCTCAGTGTCCTTCCTTCCAGGCACTCGGCCCCTATTCCTCCTTAGATCCGGAATGCTACATCCTGAAACCTTGATGCCCCAAAGCCCTGGCTTCGGCATCACCTTCTCAGTGAGTCTGGTCTCACTTCCCCTCATTCCAACTCCTGCTCTTCCCTGCCTCATTCTCCCCAGCCAGCATCCCACACCCAGGACATACTGGCTCCGACAAACCCATGAATGTCCCTCTTCCTGCAGATTCTAAACTGAGAAAGCAGCATAGTGGTTAACATTGAACACCAACTTGACAGGATCCAGAATCGCCCATGAGAAGAGCTTCTGGGCACGTCTGTGAAGAAGTTCCTAGATTACATTCCCTGAGGTGAGAAGACCCACCCTATGTGTGGGCAGCACCATTCCTGGGGCCTGAGCCCAGACATAATAAAAAAAGGAAGTGATCTTGGTGGCGGCGGCGCCGGCGGCGCATGTCTTTAATCCCAGCACTCAGGAGGCAGAGGCAGGAGGATCTCTGAGTTTGCGGCCAGCCTGGTCTACAGAGCAAGTTCCAGGACAGCCAGGAAGGATGTGAGCTAAACACCAGCGTTCACAGTCTACAGGTGCGACGTGACCAACTATCTCAGGCTCCTGCTGCCATGGCTCCCCTGCCATGATGGAATCCACCCTCCAGCTGTGAGGCAGAAAAAAACCCTGGCTAAGTTGCTGTGTCAGTGTATTGTCCCCACTCCCGGACCAGAAACTAAGACGAGAAGGCTTTTCTTTCCCTTTGGGTATTCTGCACTGGACCTCTGCTGTGGGTTAAAGGCCCCTGATGCAGGATAGGAATGCAACAACCCTTAGAAGAGCAAACTAAACTAGAGCCCGCCCCTTTCTAACTCAGGGACTTGTAACTGGGCACTGAAACCCATTATAGTCTGAAACTCAAAGGAGCTGGGCCTACGCCTTCTTCTGTGCATCTACTAATTTGTCTCTCAATGGTGCAGGCGTCACTTGGGTCAGACCAAGTGAAGACCATCATGAGGTCCCAGGCAGCTTAGCCTTCATCTTCTGCCATCTTTCATCCTTAACAAGTGGCGTGAAGGAGACGAGGTCTGGAAGACCAGAGAGACCAAAGAATTCTTCAAATATATTTATCATCTTTTAGTGTTTTTCTTACTTAAAAAATAATACTGTTTTTTTTAGGGATTAAAAAAAACAGACCACAGAAGACTGTCTTTCTGAACATGGGGGAAACAGGAGGGATCAGAGGGAAGACAGAGATGAACATGGGGAGGACAGATGGGAGGACGCGGAGGTGTACGTGGACAGAAAGACAGGTGTGAACGAGAGGAAGATGGCTGGGGAGACATGACCATGAAGACGAGTGTGAGTACAGAGAAAGCAGTTGGGTGGACAGGTGTGAACACAGGGAGGGCAGGCTGGACCCTGGCTCCGTGTAGTAAAGGGATGGTGGCTCCCCTTGCCTTTAAAAGGGGAGGCTCTGAGGTATCAACAGCCCAGGCACTTGAAGAAGGAACACAAAGAGAAGTCTCTGTAGTTGCTGTGGACTAACCAGCCTCTTCCATCTCCAGGAGGTCATCCACATATTCCACAACCTCTCCCTGGAAGAGAGGGCAGACACATTAGGAGGGCCACATGGCAGGAAAGGCATCCAAGAGGCCACCACTGGCTGTGGGCTCTGGGAAAAGCTCAGAGCCCAAATGACCTGAGTCCTCTCACTGAACGGAGTCTTATCTTCTACCCCATGTGACCTCAGCATCAAGTGACCAGCCACCCCACAGATAACCCAACCTGCCACCCCAAAAACAACCCGTTTCATGTAGGTCATCTAGCCACCACTCTGAAAGGTTCCAGATGGTTCACTGCTCTGGGCGTCCTTCTATCTGCCCCCAGACTCCTCAATTCTGCCTCAGGAACTGGCACTTTCCGCTTTGACCAGCAGCCCACACTTCCCACACCACCACAGCCAAACTCGCTCTGAGCACATCCCTGGGACGCTCTTCAAGGAGACCCAATCTAAGGTGCAGGCCTGAGCATCATTTATTTATTTAGCAGCCCTGAGGATTGAACCCAGGGCTTTGTGCATCGTAGGTAAATGCGATACTACTGAGCTATGTCCCCAGTCCCCACTTCCTCACTGGTACAGCACTTTTATACCCAACTGGTATTCCGTTCTCATAACTTATGGTCGCTCCTATTTCACAAAGGGCTGACGCTTCCTTCCTTAGTGGCAATGGCCATGTGAATCAGCACGGTGAAACTCCCCTGACCCCGTCTCCCTCAGAGGTGGAGAGGAGCAGGGAAGAGGCAGCACAGAGCCTCTGGGCCTGGCCCAGCATCTCCTTGAGCTTCCCCTCCCCCAGGCTCTCCCAGGATGTGAAGGATCAGGGCAGTACCAGCTCCCAGATCTCTTCTGGCTCCAAACACACCAAGTTCCCAGCTTTTGTACAAAGCATTTTCCAGTTCCTTCCAAAGGCATCCATCTAAATAAATTATAGGGGTATCCACAGATGGCTTCTCTGTGACCCGGATGCCCCTCCACTCAAAGTCAGGATGCGTCAAGAAGAGATATCTGCCGTACAGTAGGCAGAGTGCACGCCTGGCATGTGTCGGGTCCCCGGGTTGACCCTGGGCATGGTGGTACGCGCTAGCAACGCCAGCACTTGAGAGGTCTCAGCAGGAGGGTCACAAGTTCAAGGTCATCCTCAGGTACACTGCAAGCTGGAGGCCAGCCTGTGCTACATGAGACACTGTCTCAAAACACAAAACACCTCCAACAAACAAAGGGCTGGCTAAGGGAGATCCAGTCAGGGAATCGGCTGCCACAACAGATGAACTGCTGGCAGCAAGGACATAATTACAATAACCTGGAAGGAGAATGGGACGGGATGCAAAGTGTCTCCAGCGTGCGGAACAAGTGAAACTCACGACACTAGAAATGACGGTGTGGGAACCTGTGAGATAGCTCAGTGGGTAGAGGTGCTTGCTATGGAGCCCGATGACCTGAGTTCAATCCCTGGCCCCCAGGTGGTGAAGGAGAGAACCAGCTTCCTCAAGCTGTCCTCTGACCTCCATACGGGGCTGTGACATGCCCCTGGCCCTCCCACACACACACACACACATATATATATATATATATATATATATATATATATATATATATATATAAATGGCACGGTGAGACACACATATTCACTAGCACTTGAGACTTGGGCAGGAGAAAGGGCAGGTCAAAGCTAGCCCGGGCCACATATCACTGCTGAGGCTAACCTGGGCACATGGCAAGACCTTGTCTTAAAAAGGAAGGCGGGGGGAGATGGTTCCGTGGATAAATGCCTGTTGCCCAGGCTTAAGGACCTGAGTTCTGATCCCCAGTCTGTATGCAAATACCGCCAAGGCACACACATTTGTCACCTCGACACTGGGGAGGACGACAGAGGAAGGCGGACCCAGGAGCTTGCCGCCTGGTCACGCTGGCTGAATGAATAGACTCCGGGTTCTGCAAGAGACTTTGCTTCAAGAAATCAGGTGGAGGGGCCAACAAGATGGCTCAGTGGGTAAGGTAATTGCCCTGCAAGTCTGGTGACCTGAATTCAATCCCTGGAACCCACACAAAGGTGGAGGGAGGGAACTGACTCCACAGGGTTGTCCTCTAACCCCACGCAAGCAGCGACAAGTGCCCCCAACCTACAACACACGCACGTGCGTACACACGCATCTGGTGCATACTCCAAGCGCATTTCCCCCACAGAAGAAATAGCAGCCCAGCCTTGGCCTCCTAGAGAGCTGGACTTTTCCACACCAGAGCCCTGGCTTTCATTAAAACCCCCACAGCAGCTGATCCCTCGAGGGCCCCTTCTGTTTCTTGAGGAAGGACTCAGCCTTCGAGGGACTCTGACAGAGACATGAGTCATGGTCTCTCTCAGGCAGACGCGTGCAGAGCACGGAAGCTCTTACCTCATCATCATCCATTAGGTGTTCCTGGGCAAAGCCGTAGAGCTCCTTCTGGAGCGTCGTCACGTTAAAGAACTGCACTGCTTCCTGTTGGACACAAGCGAGAACCATCAGACGACCAGGTTTCTCGTCTGAGAGCTGACAGCAAGTTGGCATGGAGTACAAGCATTCAGGAGCGGACATGGAAAGGTTGTGCAGATGGGAATGTACCCGACACCCTGAACTATGGAGACACGAGGGCAAATTCTATCAGATATAGACAATATCACGGTTCTTAGCATGGGGGAAGGGTCTGGGCGTGGTTGGTATCATGTTTGCCTGGCATGCTCAAAGCCCTGGGACCCACTCCAGGACGGTATGAACCAACTGTGGCAGTGCATGGCTGTAATCCTGGAACTTGGAAAGTGAAGCCAGAAGAAGTTCAGAGTCATCCTTAGCAAGTTCAAGGCCAGCCTGTGCTATATGAGACCCTGTCTCAAAACCAAAACACAGAACGCTGGGAGTGAAGCTCAGTGGTAGAGCACTTGACCGGTACACACAAGGTCCTGGGTTCAATCCCCACAGCTTAAAAAAAAAAGGAGCAACTGAGTAAATGTGTGCATGTATGATCAGCAAGGAACTGATAAGCGGAAGATTTACCTATGAAAATCTAGTCTGGGTTTCAGTTTTATTGGGACAGGTGTTGCTTGGTAGCCCAGCCGGGCCTCACACTCATGACAGTCCTCTTGCTTATGCATCCAGAGTGCTAGAATTACAGTCATAAGCCACCATGCCCAAAAGTGACAAATATATTATAAGTCACATATAATTAACCCCCTGACAATAGGTATAAAGCCTCACATTTATCTGCCAAAGGAATTAAGTGATGGTTCATCCATAAAAGTCTATAACCCGGCACTTGGGAGGCAGAGGCAGAGGCAGAGGCATGAGGACTGCAAATTTGGGACCAGCCTGGGCTAGGCAGCAAAACTCTAAAGACCAAGGGCTGGACGTGGCTCAACGGCAGGGCACCTGGTTAGCACGTGAGGAGAGCTCCTGGCTTCTAACACCATAAAAGTGGCGGAGGAGGAGGAAGAGGTACAGGGAGAGGGATGACCGGGGACGACAAAGTAAGTAACAAAAACAGCACGTGTAGTAGAATCCTAACTTTGTACCAAAAAAAAAGGAAGAAAGGCTGAAGAGATGGCTCAGAGGTTAGGAACACTGACTACTCTTCCAGAGGTGCTGAGTTCAATTCCCAGTAACCACATGGTGACCACAACCATCTGTAATGAGATCTGAGCCCTTTTCTGACATGCAAGCATACATACAGGCAGAACATTGTAAAACATAATAAATAAATAAGTAATTAAATAAATAAATAAATCTTAACAAAAAATAAGTGGGCCGGGCGGTGGTAACGCATGCCTTTAATCCCAGCACTTGGGAGGCAGAGGCAGGCGGATCTCTGTGAGTTCGAGACCAGCCTGGTCTACAAGAGCTATTTCCAGGACAGGCTCCAAAACCACAGAGAAACCCTATCTCAAAAACAAAACAAAACAAAATAATAATAATAAAAAAAATAAGTGCAGGCTGTGTGGATAAGTAAATAAAGGGACTCAGAGAAGAAATTAAAAAGCTGTGGGGCCCTGGAGAATGGCTCACTGGGTAAAGGAGCTCACCACCAAGCGTGACCCCTTGGGTTCAATCCCTGGGACCCACATGTGGAAGGAGGGAACTGATTCTCTGAGCTCCACATGCATCGCTGTTGCATGTGCAGGACCATATACATACACACGATAAATAAGTAAAAATATAAAAAAATTCAGCAGGGTATGACGGTATAAGCCTCCAATCCTAGCAGTCAGGAGGCCGAATCAAGAGGGTCTCTGTGAGTTCAAGAACAGCCTGGTCTACACAGTGACTTCTGGGTCAACCAGGGTTACAGAATCAGGGCCCGATTCAAGAGGGACAGAGGAAACCAACGGTAACCAGAAGCAGAGAGAGTTCTTTAATTTCAGAACTGATTCTCTCTCTGAAGGGCAAGGCAGTCTCCTGAAGGAGGAAGGAAGGAGTGGGACACTCACGGGTCTGGGCTGGAAATGCTCGTCCGAGAGGCCCCACTTGTCCCTGTGGTACTGATAGTAGACCAGATTCTGCTGCATGACCTTGTCATCCTTGTCGAAGAGTAGGTAGCTGACGGCGCAGGGGGCTGCGTTCTTTAGATCGTTCACTGGAACCAGAGAGAAGAGGCTAAGCAGGCGAGCAAGCTCTGGGGCTACCTCAGAACCTTCCTCCAGGAAGAGACCAGGCCTAAGGTTTTCCTCCCGGCTCTCCTCTAGAAAACCCTTGACCTCAGAAGGTGAGTAGGGCACAGGCTAAGGAGGCAGAGGCCTCGAGCCACCCTCAGGCTGTGCTGATTTCAGACAATCAGGGCTGGTCGCAGGAAGTGGGTCTCAAGGCCTGGGTCACACTAGGATTGAGGAAGACACAGGCTGTTTAACTACACGCCTCCCTCTGGAGGCTGAGTTCCTGAGTCCCACCAGGCTAGGACAACAATACGAGAGGAGGTGGGCCCTCCTCCAACCAAACCATATGTGAAAGGCATAACGAAGGGCTGGGGGTATGGTTCAGTTGGTAGAATGCTTTCTGAGCATCCATGAAGCTCTGGCTTCCATCCCCAGTTCTCCACAAACCACACATAACAGCATATTCCCAGCACTTGGGAGGTGGAGGCAGGAGGCTCAACAGTCAAGGCCATCCTTGGCTATACAGTGAGTTTGGGGCCAGCCTGGGCTACATGAGACTTGGTTGATAGATAGATAGATAGATAGATAGATAGATAGATGATAGGTAACACTAAGACTCCAAACTGCAGAAACCAACAAGAGAAACCATTGGTAGGCCCTCAAGACAAGGAAGAGTCAAAGGTTACCTTGTCCTGCCATCTCCTGCTCCTGCCCCACTGCTCAGAACTAGACCCCCACATCACCATCAACATAAGGACTCTGCAGAGTGGCATTGTCTTGGGAGGGAGGGGAGTCAGGCAAAGCAGAAATGAGACACAAAACCCAGGGTATCTATTCAGGCACCTTCGTGGCCACTTCTATTAGGTAACAAAATTCTGGTTGGCAGGAATGACCTAGCTGAAGATGGCTCAATTGTGCCACCTAGTGGTTGTTTTCCGTCACAACAACTTTAAAACCTGAACTTCAAGGCTCTTCCCACACAGTTTGGGCGTGAAGGTTTCAAGGTAAATTACACCTACGTTCAATAAATGTTAATTTTTATTTACACTACCTATCTACATCCCTGGAAAGCAAAGATTTCCCAGGGAACAGGAGTCAAGCCTTGAGGCTCAGGGTCTCCGCTCTAATCGGAGCCAGAGGCCTCTTCGCGGACAGCCATGTACATGGCCTTAATGAGCCTTCTCAGCCACCATAGCTGGTAACAGGACAGTCTTGGGACCTCATTCAAGGTCCTGCATGGGGCTACTTACACTTATAATAGGCGAACTGCAAATAGTGGTACATGGTGGCCACGAATTTCTCTACGGGGTAGCCGCCTATGACCGGGGTGAGGGTCTCCTCGCACTGAACCTTGCATTCCAGAACTTCTACATAATGGTCTGCAAAACAGATACGAATTCTCAGAACAGTCTCAACCTTTCTCCTTCCCTCCCTCCTCTCCCTTCCCCTCCCCTCCCTCTCTAGGGATGACTCGCAAGACCTCCTACACTCTCAGCAGCGAGTGTTCCACCACTACTAACTCAGCCCCAGCCCCTTCCTACCTTCGGTCTAGCTCTGCCTGCCACACACATACAGGTAAAAGAAAAAAGAATACATTTAAAATAAAGAACTTGGAGCTAAGGGCTGGCTCAGCGGTGAAGAGCCCTGGCTGCTCTTCCAGAGACTCAGGTTCAGATCCCCATACTACATGGTGGGTCTCAACCACCTGTAATCTCAGTTTTAGGGGATCCCATTACCCTCTTTTGGCCTCCACAGGCACCAGGCACATATGTAGTCCATAGACACACATGCAGGCAAAGTACTGATAGACATAAAAACAAAACAATAAATTAAATAAATCAAGGGACATCCATCTTTAATATTCAAAGTATCTTAAGATCAAAAGAAAATGACAAACACCTAGGATAGAACTGCCAAAAGGGGCTTGAGGCAAAGAAGATGGCTCAGTAGTTAAAGAGGCCACCACCAAGATTGCAGATATAAGTTGAATCCTGGGGACCCACACAGTGTGTAGAGAGAACCAACATCCACAACTTGTCATGTGACCACAAGTGTGCCACAGCGCTGGAGCCCCACCCCTCAACACAAAACAAATAAAGACAAAATTATAACCAAAATATTGTAATGGCCAAAGAATGCTAATGCACATTAATATGAACAGCAATGGAGCTCTGTCAAGACACGACGGCTCCTCAGCAGCGAGCAGCGCCACTTTCTGAACAGTTTAAACCCAGTCAGGAGTGTAGCTCGGTGGCAGTGGGCTGGCCTAACAGGCCACAAAGGCAACAATAGCAAATTGTCAGTGCTCATGTAGCCCGGGGCTGGCTTCAAACTCCTGTGTGGCTGAGGAAGGCCTTGAACTCCTGATCCTCCTGGCTGAGACAACAGAAGCACCACCAAGACCAGATAATGCAGACCTGGGAGTTGAACCCAGGGCCCTGTGCATGCTAGGTAAGTTCATTAACTGAGAGCTACACCCCAAGCCCAAAATAATATAAATTCTATGTATGGAGTTGAATGTGTGAAATGCAAAAATGAAAACCAGAAGAGAGCCTAACATATTATGGCCACCTCTATGTAAAATAAACACACAAAACACGAGGAAATACTTATGTATGCGTAACCTTTACAGACAAAAAGTGATAGAGGTGAGAATCTCGAAGGGCAGTGTAGAGATGAGGTGAGCAGGCCTGCTTTTCGTCCCGCCCGGCTCCTGCATGGCTAGCTTTACACCCGAAATAACAACACACAAATTGTATTCTTTTAAACACTGCCTGGCCCATTAGTTCCAGCCTCTTAATGGCTAATTCTCACATCTTGATTAACCCATTTCTAATAATCTGTGTAACACCACAAGGTGGTGGCCTACTGGGAAAGATTTTAACCTGCATCCATCTTGGGCCAGAGCTCATGGCATCTTCCTCACTGCCTTCTACCCAACATCCTGTTCTGTTTACTCTGCCTATCTAATTTTCTGTCCTATCAAAGGGACAAGGCAGTTTCTTTATTAACCAATGAAAGTAACACATAGACAGATGACCCTCCTCCATCAGGGCAGAGCTGGGATGAGGAGGAGAGGCATCTAAGGAATGTGAAGTCCTTAGGTTTGACTGTTAACATCAGGAAGTCAGGAGAGAATGCCAGCCCTGCTCAGCAGACAGGGAGAACACTAACTAAATGCTTAAAAATGAACAGCCCTGGCTGGGCTAGGGACAGAGCGTAGGGGTTGAACATTCCTGTAGCATATGTGAGGCCCTAGGCTCAATCCCCAGAATTGCGATAAAAAGATAAAGTAAATGGCACCTTCTATAAGAGAGTAAAGACATCACACATCTCTGGGTGTGACATTCTGAGGCTACTTCTAGTGCTCTAGCCAAAAATGGGCACTCCCAATAAAACTGTCAGAAACCAAATAATCCTGCTCATTTGTTTGTTTTTGTTGTTATTTTTTGAGAATGGGTCTCACTCTGTATCTCTGGTTGTCCCAGAAGTCACAGAGATCTGCCGCCTGCCTCTGCATCCCTGCTGCTGGGATTAAAGGTGAGTGCCACCATGCCCAGCCCAAATTAGAAATACTTACAAATTAATTAGCCTAAATGTCTCTAAAGGATTGTTGGTGGCCCGGGGGTGGTGGCGCATGCCATTAACCCAAGTACTTGAGACGCAGAGGAAGGAGGATCTCTGTGAGTTTGAGGCCAGCCTGGTCTACAGAAGGAGTTTCCAGGAGAAGCCCTGTCTCAAAAAAAAAAAAGAGAGAGAAAGAAAGGAAAAGAAAGAAAGTTGGTAATCTAGAAAGAAGGAAGCAACATGGATGAGAAATTCTCAAGGAAGTGGAAATGGGGAGGGCAGAATGCTAGAAATGAAAAACCCACTGAAAATCAAAAACACAGTGAAGTCATGACCAATGATTTCAGAAGAGAGCATGGAGATGGAGAACAGGTTGAGGAAAGACTCATTCAGATATCAATAAAGAAAAAAGCAAGCATGCCCACCTTCTAAGAACTCCACCATAGTCAAAAGCCAAACTAAACTGAGTGCAGTGGTCCACACCTTTATTCCCAGCACCCAGGAGGCAGAGGCACAAAGATTTCTTAAGTTTGAGACCAGCTTGGTCTACACAGCCAGGCCAGCCTGGGCTACACAGTGAGACCTGGTCAAAAAGAAAACCAAATGTCTTTCCTATCTTAAAAAAGTGTCCCTTGCTTTTTTTCGTGGCGCCTCCTAGGCAGCCGGCTGTGTGTCATCTCATCCCCTGCCACCAGCTGTCAGAAACTCAGTGACGTGGATGATGAACGCAAACGTTCTGTGAGAAGCACACAGCCACGGGAGTAACTGCTGATGCTCTCGGTGAAGAGCGGAAAGGTCATGAGGTCCAACTCGGTGATAAGAATGACAGACAAGGCTTTCCCATGAAGCAAGGTGTTTTGAGCCATGGCAGAGTGTGCCTGCTGTTGAGTACAGGGCATTCTTGTTATAGAGCAAGGAGAACAGGAGAGAGGAAGCACACAGGTCTGTTCGTGGATGGATTGTGGATGCCGGTCTGAGTGCTCTCAACATGGTTATTGTAAGAAAAGGAGAGAAGAATATTCCTGGACTGACAGACACTACTGTGCCGCATCGGCTGGGACCTAACAGAGCTTGCAGAATCCGAAAGCGTTTTAATCTCTGTAAAGGTGATGTCCCTAGTACGTTGTCAGAGAGCCCTTAAACAAAGAAAGCAAGAAGCCCAGGACCAGAGCGCCCAAAATTCAGTGTCTCGTTTCTCCGTGTGTCCTGTAGCACAAACACTGATGTGCTGCTCCGAAGAAGCAATGCACTAGCAAAAACAAGGAGGAGGCTGCAGAATATGCTAAACTTTTGGCCAATAGAATGCAGGATGCCAAAGAAAAGGGCCAGGAATGGATTGCCGAGAGACGTAGGCTGTCCTCGCTGAGGACTTCTGCTCCTAAGTCTGGGTCCAGTCAAAAAGAAGTCTTTAAGGGTAACAAATAAATAATCATACTTTTAAAAAAAAGTGTTCCTCAGATGCCAATCAAGGCTTCTGGAGCACAGGCCCCGCCCACCACCAACCTGCGATGGACAGGTAGAAGTCCTTGAAGTCCTTAATCTCCCTGGAGCCTTCGCAGGCTGCCAGGCACTCGTAAAAGGCTTTCAGGAAGTCAGGGAGCGCCAGCTCCATGTCCGTTATGGACGTCCTCCAGTTCTCCCCATTGTAGGCCCGCACCGCACGGACGAACAGGTTCTGGAACGCAAGGAGATGCAGTGAAGCCCCTCCTGACAAGCAGGAGACACGCTTGTCCCGCCCAAAGAATCATGACCCCTACGGAGCCACGCTTCATCAGCCCTGGATGACCCTTGACTTGGTACAAACCAGGCACCATATACATGAGTGTGGATTTGCCTATACGCTCACCAGAGGTACCTTCTTATAAAAACAGAACCCAGGGTAGCCCAAGCTGACTTCAAACTCCCAGAGTAGCTGAGAATGACCTTAACCACTTTTTAAAAACTTTTTTTTTTTTTTTTGATTTTCGAGACAGGGTTTCTCTGTAGCTTTTTTGGTTCCTGTCCTGGAACTAGCTCTTGTAGACCAGGCTGGACTCTAACTCCCAGAGATCCGCCTGCCTCTGCCTCCCGAGTGCTGGGATTAAAGGCATGCGCCATGACCGCCCGGCACTTTTTTAAAAACTTATTTTTACTATTTAGTGTGGACTTAAAGAGTCAGATAACAGGGGCTGGAGAGATGGCTCAGAGGTTAAGAGCATTGCCTGCTCTTCCAAAGGTCCTGAGTTCAATTCCCAGCAACCACATGGTGGCTCACAACCATCTGTAGTGGGGTCTGGTGCCCTCTTCTGGCCTGCAGGCATATACACAGACAGAATATTGTATACATAATAAATAAATAAAATAAATAAAAAAAAAGAGTCAGATAACAGTTTAGGAGACATTTCTCCCACCACCCTGTGAGTCTCGGGAATCAAACTTAGGCTCGGCAGCAAACACCCTTACCCAGTGAGCCATCTTGCCAGCCCAAGAAATCACAGGCATGTACCATCACATCCTGTTTCATACAACACTGGGGACTGAGCTCGGGGCCTTGTGTGTCTAGGTGAGCACTCTACCAATTGAGCTATACCCCAGCCCAAATCACTATATTTCTTTCTTTGTTCAACTTAAAATATTGCAAGTATTTGACAATGAAACCAAAATCAAACCAAGGAAACAGTAAAAGAAATCAGATCAATGATTCCCAGAAGTCAGGGGCTGGGTGACAGCCAGAATGAAAAGGAACAGGAGGAAACTTGTCAGGCTGGGTGACAAAGAAACTCCTCGCGTTCTCTCTGTAGCCTGTAGCCGTCACATGACACATGAAGCTGTCTCCAATCACTGAGTTACGTAAAGTTCATTAACGCTTAGATAAAAGGGCATGGCGGTGCATGTAGTTCCGCCAGGCTTTGAACCCACAGCCGTCAGCCGTCATCAATGCCTCATCTCCCAAGTGCTGGGATTATAGGCAAAACCACCATGCCCAATTTGTTGATTTTTTTCTTCATGGGAATTTTGTGCTCAGCCAGTTTCCTACCATCATAACTAATAAATATCACTGAAAACAACAAGAGCATTCTTTAGACATCAGCATCTGGGCCAGCAAGAAAGCTCAGTGGATAAAGGTACTTGCCACCAAGTCTGAGGACCTGAGTTCAAATCCTAGACCCCCCTGGTCAAAGAAGAGAACTATGCCTTGTCCTCTGACCTCCACACAAGCTCTCTTGCTCTCTCTCTCTCTCTCTCTCTCTCTCTCTCTCTCACACACACACACACACACACACACACACACACACACCTCTTCTCTCTCTCTTTAAATAATTAGAATGTAATTAAAAGGAAAAACGATGCTAGTTGCTCCCCAAGACATGCTCCTTTAACATATCCTGTTGCACCAACTGCGGGGTGAAGCCAGCGAGTACCTCGTATGACTTGGTCTCCAGGTCTTTAATGTGGTCCTCAGCTCCAGGCAAGCTCTTGTAATAGGCCATGTTTCTCTTCATCATCTCATCGTCAGGGTGCTTCAGAAGATAGGTATGAGCCGCAGCGATGGCCTTCGGGAGGTCATTGGCCTGAGCGTATGGCAAGAGGATCACGGTTCAGACACATGCTGGACCTTGCATTTGAGAACTGAGAGCTTCATTTCAGCTCTTCCTTCCTCTCCTCCTCTCTCCCTCTCCTTCCTTTCTCCTGACCCAGTCTTAAGCAGCTCAGGCTGGCCTCAAGGCTGTGGATGACCTTGAACTTCTGACCGAGCATCTTTACCTCCCCAGTGCCTGGATCACAGGCATCCAGGAATACAGCCAGTTTTATGTGTTGATGAGGCTCAAACCCAGGACTGTTGCAAGCCAGGCAAGTACTTGACTGGCTGAGCTACAGTCCCAGCCTCTTCAGGGAGCCCTTAGTTCCTTCTCACCAAATAACACTTCTGGTTAAGAGGTCAATGACTTTTCAAGACCTATCAAGATCTGGGCCAGTCACTCTGATGAGCCTTTGTTCCCAGAAGGTGACCGGGCGATGGCTTCATTATGCCTTTCCTCATTTACTCTCCACGGTCCCCACCATCCTGGTCCCAGGAGGATGGCCTCTGTGGCACTGACAGCAGTCCCCAGGCTCTCTGGCTTCCACAGGGGTCCCCCAGGAGGAGCCCAATGGGAAGCTAAAAGGGAGGGGTGTAGTCTCTTCCGTCTTCTGGCTCTCTCCCTATGGCCACCCCTGACTGCAATGGTATCAAACTGAAGGTCACACATCCTGTCAAGGTGACCTTCTCTACATGGTCACTCCTCCTGACTCCTAAGTAACTGCTCACTCCCTCGCTCCTTCCAGCAAAGGGTTGGGTACAACCGAGTGGCTCTACGCTGGGGCATTAAAAATCCCTTGTGGGTCCCTGCACCTGCATGCACTTCGAGAAACAACCGTCTTGGTAAGTTTTCCTCACACCATCTCTTCTGCGGCAACCTGTCAAGCACTGTTTCCAGATCTCTCACAGAACCGTCTGCCTCCCTTCTCAGGGACCCCAACTCCCTCTCTCTGGCTCACCTACTTCACAAATACTCCACAATATTCATGAGGCATCTCCTATAAGGAGACACTGTTTTCAGAGATCAGGTTGGTGACAGTTAGTTCATCCAGAGTCTGCGGGAACAGGCAGATCTGGAGCCCTGGGTTTACAGCTGACCACATGATCAGTATTACCAGGACAGGCAGGTGTGGCGGGGGGGGGGGGGAGCGGGAGGGGGAGACCTTAGGCGACAGTGTGATAATAAACCTCCATCTCAGACATGATGGAATCTAGTACCAGAACCATGGAGGAGATGAGCCTCTCAGCATGCTGGTGAGAAGTTATCTACGTGAAGTTTTAATTGTGATTATCCACCAGCTGTGGGTAAATACCATTCTACAGCCTGGGTTCCCAGACTTAAAATAGGGAAGGTGAGCTGATCACCTGCATGCATTTCTCTCTGCCTCTTGACTGGGGACACATTGTGGGCAGCCACCTCATGCATTGATGCCTTGACTTCCCCCATGATGGACTCTACCCTCAAACTGTGAGCCAAACAAGCCTTCCTTAAGGCATCTCTGTTGGGCATTTTGTCGCAGTAACCAGAGGAGCAACTAACACAGGCAGGCAGATGGTGATGAGCCAGCCTCCCTCTGGGGACACAAAACAACCTGAGAGGCCTCTGTTGACAGAATCCTGGCAGACAGAAGGGTCCCCATCATGCGTGCAGATAAGGCCTCCTTCAGCCTACCAAAGGAACACTCTGAGGCAGGGATGGTGGTTAGGGTGAGAGACAGACAGACAGACAGAGACAGAGAGAGAACTTGTGAGACCCATCAAATTCTTGAGAATAAGGTTAGAAAAGGTGACATCCATCTGAACCAGAATGCCCCTAAATTTGAAGCAAGTCATCAGAGACAATGGTGGTTTCCCGTGGCAAGGGGTGGGTGGACAGGAGGGCAGGCTCCCAGGTGTAGGCTGCCACCTAGAGAATGACAGTGTGGCCTGTGGCTGATAGGACTTGGGCGGAGGCCTAGGCTGAGGTACAAGGGCCAGCAAGAGGGCTCAGTGTGTAAAGGAGCTTGCCACCAAACTGGGTGACTAAGTTTGATGCCTGGAGCTCACATGCTAAGAGAGAGCAGGCTCCCAACAAGCTGTCCTCTGACCTTCACACACGAACAGTGTGTGCCCCTTGTGCGCACACACATGAACACACACACAATAAATGATTAAGAGCAAAAAATAAAATATCCAGCCGGGCGGTGGTGGTGCACGCCTTTAATCCCAGCACTCGGGAGGCAGAGGCAGGCGGATCTCTGTGAGTTCGAGACCAGCCTGGTCTACAAGAGCTAGTTCCAGGACAGGCTCCAAAGCCACAGAGAAACCCTGTCTCAAAAAACCAAAAAAATAAAAAAAAATAAAAATAAAATAAAATAAAATATCCTTCTTAACCAGAAAAAGCAGAAACTGGGTTTTAGGAGTTTTCTCTCGACCATGCTCAGTGAAGGCCCAACAAGCTGAGGCCTTTCTGTCCAGCATTCCAACCTCCCAAGCAAGGACTTAAAGGGCAGGGAACTGCAATTTGTAGCTATTTTTAGCAAGCAATCACAGGCAGAAGTTAAGCAGCCGTAAAGAGGAGGCAGTGAACTGTGTACGTTAGATTCTAACAGAAGGAACAGAGACGAGCCTGGTGAACCACAGGGCACAGACTTCTGTGAGCAGAGAGAAGCCTGTCCCCAGAGAGCAGGCCACATTATGAAGCCCTTTCTCCAGTTCCAGGTACTTTGCTGGGGCATCCCAAGACATATTTGCCACCTTAGAAGAGGCTGCAACAATTTTCAAAGGCGCTGGGAGGGGCAGAGCGTACAGGAGGTAAGCAGACAGGAGGATGGGGAATCCAGATTCAGTCTCAGCTATGTACCAAGTTTGAAGCCAGCCCAGGTTACATAAGACCACGCTTCAAAAAGGGGGGGGGAGAATTTTCATGTTTAAGATGAGGAAGGGCAGTGTTTTTGTTCACTGTGAACTTGTGTTGCTCTCATTGGTTTAATAAAGAACTAAATGGCCAATAGCTGGGCAGGAAGAGGTTAGGCGGGACTTATGGACAGGGAAAAAAAAGAATGTGGGGAAGAGGGCAGAATCGCGAGGAGAGGCAAAGAGAAGTAAGAGGAATATAACATACCATGTGGTAGAGCATAGGTAAGAAATATGGGTTAATTTAAGATATAAGAGCTAGGGCTGGAGAGATGGCCCAGAGGTTAAGAGGTCCTGAGTTCAATTCCCAGCAACCATATGGTGGCTCACAACCATCTATAATGAGATCTGGCACCCTCTTCTGGTGTGCAGGAAGAATACAGTATACATAATAAATAAATAAATCTTTTTTAAAAAGATATAAGAGCTAGTTAGCAATAAGCCTAAGCTATTGGCTGATCATTTACAATTAATAATAAAGTCTCTGTGTTGTTATTTGGGGAGTTGGTGGTTCCAAAGAAAAACTCCACCTACAAGGCAGGATTTGGAGAGCTTTGGAAGAGCTGTGTGGCAGAACCTGAGGGAAGGAGATTGAAGCCATTATCTCAGTGGGGAAGGGCACTCATTGGGTTGCATTGGGTGGCTCACAACCTCCTCTAATTCTAGCTCCGCTGCCCTCTTCTGGCCTCCAAAGGCATTCACACATATGTGGCATGGTACACACACACACACACACACACACACACACACACACAAATTTAAATAAAGAAAAAAATTTTAATTCAAAGGATTGACGCTCAACGTTGAAGGAAAGGCTGATCTAGAAGAGGCCCGATATGGGATGTTGCTGGTGGGTGCTCAGAAGAGTGGGGCTCGGTGGGGAGATGCTCAGTGGAATAAGGTGGAATCTGGGGGTGGTGTGGAGGGAGACCTGGTGAGGTGGGGCTCAGGGGCAGCCCAGAGGCAAGGCTCTGTGGAGCCGACCCTACTGTAGAGGTGGAGAGGTTAGGAGGTGAAGTGTGGCTCCGGGAACTGGCAGGAAGCTCAACTGGGCGGGGCTCAGCTGAGGTGGGTTTTGGGACAAGATGGGGACCGTGATCAGTGGGACAGGTTGAGAGAGGGTGACTGTGGGAAGGAAGGGTCCTCAGCAGAACTGGTAATGGGCGGGGTTCGAATGGGGCGGAGCTCCGCTGAGGGCGGGGCTATCCGGACTGCAGGCCTGCTGGGCGGGGCTTGGGATAGAGCGGGTGTGGTTTGGGAACTGGGCCAGCTAGGCGGAACTTTCTTCTTCTTTTTTTTTTGGATTTTTCGAGACAGGGTTTCTCCGTAGCTTTTGGTTCCTGTCCTTGTAGACCAGGCTGGCCTCGAACTCCCAGAGATCCGTCTGCCTCTGCCTCCCAAGTGCTGGGATTAAAGGCGTGCGCCACCACCGCCCGGCATCTAGGCGGAATTTAAGGTGGGGCGTCTGTTCGAAATTCAGTCGGAAGGGGCTTGGGCGGGTGGGGCTCAGGGGCGGGGCTTTGCCTGTGGGCGGGGCTTCTTGCGGCGGGGCTCTGGGTGGGGCGAGCGCACGTACCTTAAAGTAAGCGAACTGTAGGAACTTGTAGGGCTCGCGCTGCTGAAAGTCGACCAGCACCGCGCGGCTGGGCTGCGACTGACGGAAGGCGGGCAGGCCCTGCTTGCAGCGTTTGAGACACTGCGCCCTGCGCAGCACGCCGCCGAAGAGGCGCAGCTCGGTGTGGCCGGCAGCGCCGGCGGGCATGGGAGCGGGCGTAGCCGCGCTGCAGTTGCGGTGGCAGAAGGCCTCGCTGTCGCGCAGCAGACGGTGCAGCCGCAGGCTCACCTCCAGGTAGCCCACGCTCTCGGCCCAGTGCTCGCCGCTGTACTGGTCGAGCGCGTGGCGGTAGGCCGACTCGAGCGGCATCAGCTCGTCCCGCGGGAAGCTGCGGAAGCTGTAGCGCTCGTACTGTGCGCGCCCCGGTGGCAGCACGCACCCGGCACTCAGTAGCACCAGCAACGCGGCCGCAGGGCTGCGGGACCCCATCACGCGTGGCCCGATGACCCGAGCCCGGAGCGGAGGACGCGCGACGCGGCAGGCCCGGGAGCGGAGGCGGGGACGCCGGCCGTGGCCCGCCCCGTCCGGCAGGCCTCCCCGCCCGGGGACCGAGAAGGGTGTGTCCTGGGGAGGCGCTCAGCCCTGGAGTCTGAGAGGTGGGGAGGAGAACCTGAGGGAATTCCAGGCCAGCATGGGGTACATGGGACCCCATCTCTGAAAGGAAAGAAAGTTTGCAATCACTTGAAGGATGTATGGGCCGCACTCCACTAGTTTCTTGTTCAGCACATCCGGATTGGGGCCGGATTGGGGTGTGTTTTCTTTTTTTCTCTTTGCTATAGCCCAAGCTAGCCTTAAACTCACTACATCGTCCAGATTGACTTAAATTTGCTCCAAGTCCTCCCCCTCCCCACTGCTGAGAGTCACAGACATTCGCCACCACGCCTGCCCTGAACAACTGAGGCTGCGGGATTACAGACCACACTGTGAATAGCAATGGCACTAACCTTTAAGATTTTAAAAGACGTTGCATAGATAAAGTTAATAAGAATGCCGGGGGCTCTTTGTAAATCGTGTGAGATGTCGGGTTGAGGATGCATTGCATCTAAGGCGGAGTATGCTGGAGAAATTTGTGCATGAGCAATGATAAAGACAGTAATTAAAAAAAAACTACATTTTTTGAAGTAATTTACAGCAAAATTGCAGGGACAGAATCCAAAATTCCTATATTCCTCTTCATGAAAATTTACAAATTGACGGCACACCTTTAATCTTAGCACTCCGAAGGCATGGCAGTGAATCCCTGGGCTGAGGCCAGCCCAGGCTACATAATGAGACCTAGTCTAAAACAAACAAAAACCCAAAATTTATTTAGAGCTTTGAGATTAGCGGCTAAAGGCATTTGTTACCAAACCTGAGTTCAATCCTAGGCTACATGCTGGAGGAACAGAATCAATGCTCCGGGTTGTCCTTTGACCTCCACACACGTGCTGCGGTACCTGAGTGCGCTGTTCCGAGTCAGGGCCAGGAGAATGATGCTCTTTGGGAGACTCCTGTAGAAGACTGATTAAGACAAACGTTCCTTTTCCAAACCACATTGTCTGCTAGTCAATAAACAGATGACCTTTGTTTAGGACTAAGATTAGATTAGAATTAATCTATTAGAATTAGATTCGGAGAGATCAGAAACCTGAATAAATCAGGCACATCTTGGGTAAATAATGGCAACCAAGGATTGGTTTTCTTGTAGGTGTCATGGCCACACCTTATCTCCTATACTAATTAATTAATAATGGGGCTGCAGAGATGACTCAGTGGTCAAGAACATTGGCTTCCCTCCCAGAGGTCCTGGGTTCAATTCTCAACATGCACATGGCAGCTCACAGTCTCTGTAACTCTAGTCCCAGAGGATTTAAGCTCTTCTACCCCCTCTAGATACCAGGCATACATGTGGTGCACCATGAAGGAAAAACACCTGTACACATAAACTTTAAAAAATTGAAAAGTAGCCGGGTGGCGGTGGTGCACATGGCTTTAATCCTAGCACTTGGGAGGTAGAGGCAGGTGGATCTCTATGACTTAGGGGCCAGCCTGGCCTACAAAGCAAGTTCCAGGACAGCCAGAGCTGTTACACAGAGAAAACCAAAGCAAAACAAAAAACAATCAAAGAAAACAAAAACATTACAGAAGGGCTCAGTGGTTGAGTACCTACCTGACATGTGAGTTCCTAGGCTTAGTAATCTATAGATGGAGGCTGCTCTCTCATTTCCCAGCCTCCCAGACCCAAATAATCACACAGAAACTATATTAATTACAACAGTGGCTAATAGCTTAGGCATATTCCTAGAAATCTCTTGCATCTTAAATTAACACATTTCTATTAATCTATGTATCACCATGAGGCTATGGTTTACCGGTAAAAGTTTGGGTGTCTTTCTTCTTTGGCAATTACATGACGTCTCTTTGACTCCACCTACTCTCTATATATATCTCTTCCAGCCTGGCTATATTCTGCCCTGCCATCGGCCAAAGCAACTTTATTCATTAACCAATAAAAGCAACACATATACAGAAGGACGTCCTCAGACCTAAGGAGGGTGGGTGTTTGTCCTCCGTACTTTATGTTGCTGTGTTAAAGCATCATGACCAAAAGCAACTTAGCAATAAAATAGTTTATTTGGCTTACAAGTTGTGGTCCATCATCAGAAGTCAGTGCAGGAATCTGGATGCAGGAACAGAAGAAGCCATAGAGGAACACTACTTACTGGTTTGCTCTCTGTGACTTGCCCAGCTTGTTTCTTTTTTCTACCACCCAGGACCACCTACTCAGAGTGGCACTGCCCTCAGTGGGTTGAGCCCTCCTGCAGCAATCATTATTGAAAAAAACACCCCTACAGGCTTGCCGACAAGCCAGTCTGAGAGAGGCATTTTCTCAGTGGACTGGTCCCTCTTCCCAGATGACGTGTGTGTGTGAAATTAACAAACAATGCAAAAACAAACAACAAACAAATGAAAAACCACAACAGCACAGTGTTCTGTTGCTGTGATAAAACACTGGCCAAAGCAACTTAGAGAATAACTTACACTTCCTGGTCATAACCCATCATTGAGAGAATCAGGACAGGAACTCAAGGCGGGAACCCTGCAGGACTACTGCTTGTTGGCTCACCCAAACTCATGCTTAGCTGGTTTTCTTTTCTTTTCAAATATTTTTTATTTGTTTATGTTTAGACAGGGTCTCACTCCTGCCTGGCCTGGAACTTACTATATAGACCAGGCTGGCCTAAAACTCAGAGACATACACCTGCCATTGCCTCCACAGTGCTGGGATAAAAGATGTGTGCCACCACGCCTGCCTTAGCGAGCTCTCTTGTACAGCTCAGGATCATCGACCCAGGCAATGGTGCCACTCACAGTAGGCCAGGCCCTCGAACATCAATGAATCACCAACACAGTGCCTCACAGACATGCCCACAGACCAACATGATCTGGGCAATTCCCGAGTTGACGCTCTCTCAGAAGACTATAGGCTGTGTCAAGGGAACAAATCTCGCCAGGGCACGGGGTTCCCAGAACTCACATCTGGTGTGTTGTAACTCTCTGGGACTTTAGGCCTGGTATGGCCAGATTTTCTCATCTTTCAAGAAAAACTGGAGACACACATTATGTCATCCTCTGGTTGTGTGTTGACAGCTATAGAATTAACTTAAAATTGAGATACTAGTGAGCTAACATAGCTCTTTGGGCCACGTCTAGTTATAACATTTGATCTAGCTAGACACCCACTATCATTATCCAGAGACTCAGTGAATCACAGAGTCAGGTGTGGCTGTAAATGCAGAGAGAAGGGTCAACCTAAGGAGCTTGCTTCCCCGGAAGAAGAAACAGCAAGATGGACTGACCAAACATACCAGAAAACTAACCAACGAAAAACTCCAAAGCAAACATTAAAGTGTGTGGCACAAGGAAGCACAAAGAAATTTGGGAAGTATGGTAATGGCGGCAGTCCTTTTTGCCCCACCCCCTCCACCCCCTGCCCCAGGCCTCCCATGGGTCCTTGGATGTTGTCAGGCAGTTCAGACTCCTGAAAGGACAAATGAAGATGAAGACATCGCAGAAGACCTCACTGTCATGTGCACAAGTCGGTTCCTGAGACATGATCACCAACTTTTGCTGGCTTCCTTATTTCACAAGTTTCATTGCTTTACACTGAGCCCTTCTCTTGTTGCACAACTTAACCCTGAGATCTGGAGTTCATGATTTTCTTTATCAGACAGCTTAAAGAAGTGAGAAAGATAAGAGGACTGTAGAGCCTGGCGGTGGTGGCGCACGCCTTTCATCCCAGCACTCAGGAGGCAGAGGCAGTTGGATCCCTGTGGGTTCAAGACCAGCCTGGTGTACAGAGAGAGTTTCAGAACAACTGTCTGTCTCAAAAACCAAAACACAAAGGGAAAATGACTGGCACAGTAGAACTGCCCACAGTTAGCCGGGCGGTGGTGGCGCACGCCTTTAATCCCAGCACTCGGGAGGCAGAGGCAGGCGGATCTCTGTGAGTTCGAGACCAGGCTGGTCTACAAGAGCTAGTTCCAGGACAGGAACCAAAAAGCTACGGAGAAACCCTGTCTCGAAAAAAAAAGAACTGCCCACAGTTTTACCTGGGGCAGGGATGGGAGGGCAATGCTGTTTAGTTTAGATTACATTTTTTTTTCTGTTTTCAGGCACACATATGCCCCTGCTTGTTATATAGAAGTCAGTGGGCAGCGTGCAGAAGTTGGGTCTTTCTTCCCATCATGTGAATTTTAGGGATTGAACTCAGGACTTCAGGCTTATTGGCAAGGGCCTTCCCCACTGAGCTGTCTCTGACACCCTGTTTGTTTTGAACATCTCATTCTACAGCTGGGCTGGCCTTAAACTTGCAGTTCTCTCTCTGACTCCAGCCTTCCGAGGTACAGCTGTCAATCACTGTGCCTGGCTTATTCATTTAGGTAACTTTTAAGTTCATAGCACTAGATGCCCACATAAAGAAGCTGGGGAAATCCCACACTAGTGAATTAACAGAACATTTGAAAACTTTAGAACAAAAAGAAGCAAACTCACCTTCAGCATGAAATAATCAAATTGAGAGCTGAAATCAACAAAATAGAAAAAAAGAAAACAATACAAAGAATCAATGAGACAAAGAGTTGGTTCTTCAAGAAAATCAACAAAATAGACAAAACTTTATCCAAACTAACCAAAAGGCAGAGAGAGAATATCTAAATTAACAAAATCAGAAATGAAAAGGGGGACATAACGTCAGGTCATATTTCGAAAACCTGTACTCCACAAAATTGGAACACTTAAAGAAAATGAACGATTTTCTGAATAAGTATCACCAAAATTAAATCAAGACTAGATAAGCAAATTAAACTACCTATAACTGCTAAAGAAATAGAAATAGTCATCAAAAGTCTCCCAACCAAAAAAAGCCCAGAACTAGAAGGTTTCAGCTCAATTATACAAGATTTTCAAAGAAGAACTAATACCAATACTCCTCAAATTGTTCCATGCAATAGAAACAGAAGGAACATTGCCAAAGTCTTTTTATGAGGCTACAATTACCCTGATACCCAAACCACATGAAGGCATTAGTAAGAAAGAGAATAACAGACCAATCTCACTCATGAACATTGATGCAAAAATTCTAAATAAAATATTGGCAAATCGAATCCAAGAACACATCAGAGCCATCATCTGCCATGATCAAGTCGGCTTCATCCCAGAGACGCAGGGATGGTTCAACATACGAAAATCTGTCAACATAATCCACCATATAAACAAACTGAAAAATAAAAACCACATAATCATTTCATTAGATGCCAAAAAAGCTTTCGACAAAATACAACATCCCTTCATGATAAAGGTCTTGGAGAGAGCAGGGATACAAGGAACATGCCTAAACATAATTAAGGCAATATACAAGCCAACAGCCAACATCAAACTAAATGAGAGAAACTCCCAGCGATCCCACTGA